GGGGAAAATTTCATTTAATTATGTAGTAGTGTAAAATCTTACATTTTTTGGTTAAGAAAAAAGTTAAAACAACTATATATTAAACTTTATATTGTACATGTAGTGTGGGCTCTAAAAGGCTGAAAAAAACCTATCCAAGTTAAAAGAATGCATGTTTAAAGTTCTTTCAAAAACTGAATACTTTATGGGACAACAAAATTCTCATTCCCATTCCTACATTACGTTCTCATTGATGATCTTCAAGTTTACCACAGTGCTAATAAGTCATGTACTCAATACTGCTTAGAAAAGATAAGCAGAAACATTTAAGAACAAAAATCAAAAATACAAACATTTTTAAGAGACACTTCCACAGTTATGAAAATACCTATAATATAAATAAACATGCAATAAATAAAAATGCACATGATGTCACAAGTAATACACTGTTAGGGCTGGGAAGCATCATAGGAGAAAAGTGGGAAGTTTGTTAAGAGGGGAGGTAATTTAGAATTCCTAGCAGAGGACAGTTAATGCCCATACAGAGATTTTGAGTTGTGTGGTACACGTGGGGAAGGAAGAATAGATTTGGGTGTGTGCATGGATCACAAATTGCTTTGGGGAGTATTAAGACATGAGTTATTATATAAATAGGTGGAACTTAAAAACTTAGGTAGGCTTTTAATCCTTTTAACAATGTTCATGTGGCTTCTTTCATATATTGCTTAATTTTTTTGTTTCTTAAAACATTAATATATTGAAATACCAGTTTCTCTTTTTAAAAGCATTTTCTTTAAACTTTTACAAATTATAATTCTATCCTTCTCATCTGACATGAGGGAATTGAGTTCAACAATATTTAATACTTTTTATATAGTCTCTATTCTCATTAACAGCACTGTGTATATCCAAGTCATCAATAGTCATTAGAGATAACTTTAAGAATTTATTTATTTATTTATTTGAGAGTGGTAAAGGGAGCATGAGCACGGGAAGGAGCTGAGGCAAAGGGAGAGAAAGAATCTCAAGCAGATTCGGTGCTGAGTGCAGAGCTGATGTAAGTCTCATGACCTAAATCAAAACTGAGAGCTGGTTACTCAAAACAGCTGAGCCGTCCAGGCACTGCAGTCATTAGTGATAACTTTTATTTCCCTTTATCCCGTGCCCATGTTGTGGGTCCTTTTTATTTTACATCCCAAACATCTCTTGACATATTCTGTACTTACTGTATATCCTTCCTTTTCTCCCTATTCTACTACTTGGAATCAAACTTCCATCATCTTTTAGCCAGACAATCGTAAGATTATCCAGTGGGCTACTTCATTGCTACCAGATGACTCTTTGTAAAACACAATCTGATTATTTCCCCGTAAAATTATTTAGTGGCTCCACTTGATCTAAGCTCCCTGCTAGACTTCTGTTGTGGTGTTCCTCTGTCTGATAACTAGTTTCTCTCTCACTAGTTCTTTTACACATCCTGTGTTTCAGCCCAATCTGACTATCCATGCTTCTTTGAATTATGCGGTATCATTTCAAGCTTCCATGCCTTTGCACACCTTAACTGCTTTGTTTCAGATGCCTTTCCTAATCCCCAGGCAACTCCTATTCATATTTTTAGACCTGCTTCAGGTAACTTCCTTCTAATTCACTCCTTTTGTTTTTTAATTTAGTTTTATTTCTTTTCAGTATTCCAGCATTCATTGTTTATGCACGACACCCAGTGCTCTGCGCAATACAAGTGCCCTCCACAATACCCACCACCAGCCTCACCTAACCCCCACCTGCCTCCCCTCCAAAACCCTCAGTTTATTTCTCAGAGTCCACAGTCTCTCATGTTTGTCTCCCCCTCTGATTTCCCCCAACTCACTTCTCTCCATCTCCCAGTGTCCTCTGTGTTATTCCTTGTGTTCCACAAGTAAGTGAAACCATGTGATAATTGACTCTCTTTTCTTGACTTATTTCACTCAGCATAATCTCTTCTAGTCCCATCCATGTTGATACAAAAGTCGGGTATTCATCCTTTCTGATAGAAGTATAATATTCCATTGTGTATATGGACCATATCTTCTTTATCCATTCGTCCGTTGAAGGGCATCTGGGTTCTTTCCACAGTTTGGCAACTGTGGCCATTGTTGCTGTGAACATTGGGGTACAGGTGGCCCTTCTTTTCACTACATCTGTATCTTTGAGGTCAATACCCAGTAGTGCAGTTGCAGGGTCATAGGGTAGCTCTATTTTTAATTTCTTAAGAAATCTCCACACTGTTTTCCAAAGTGGCTACACCAACTTGCATTCCCACCAACAGTGTAAGAGCCTTCCCCCTTTCTCCATATCCTCTCCAACACTTGTTATTTACTGTCTTGTTAATTTTGGCCATTCTAACTGGTGTAAGGTGGTATCTCAATGTGTTTTTTATTTGAATCTCCCTGATGGCTAATGATGATGAACATTTTTTCATGTGTCTGTTAGCCATTTGTATGTCTTCTTTGGAGAAGTGTCTGTTCATGTCTTCTGCCCATTTTTTGACGTAATTCACTCCTTTCTTTGAGCTGCTGGTGTACCTAATATGTATCTTTATTGTGTTAGAGCATTGCTGTTTCATTTGCATATCTGTCCCTGACCATGAGTAGCTTATGGAAAGATTTAATTTGCATATGCAGGAGCAACACTTAATTGCTGGTATATGCTGAAGATCTTTTTTTTTTTTTTTTTTTTTTTTTTTAAAGATTTTATTTATTTATTTGACAGAGAAAGAGATCACAAGTAGGCAGAGAGGCAGGCAGAGAGAGAGAGAGAGGAGGGGAAGCAGGCTCCCTGCTGAGCAGAGAGCCTGATGCGGGGCTCTGTCCCAGGACGCTGGGATCATGACCTGAGCCGAAGGCAGAGGCTTAACCCACTGAGCCACCCAGGTGCCCCTATGCTGAAGATCTTATCACTTAGTATCTAAATAGGTATCTAACAGTAGATATCTAAACAACAGAATTATTCTAAAGATTTCTCAAAATAATCTAATAACGAAGAAGAGTTTTCTGTAGTACACAGCTTGTACTGATTCATTGAACTGCATATGACAGGGTAGTCATGTCACAGAGGCTGGTTCAAACCCTCTGAGTATGCTGTTACAGATCATAACAAGGGACTGCCTGATTATAAGAATGCCAGTCAGGAACACCAGTTCTTATGTACTTAGACATTTTGGCAATACTATTTAAGAATTGAATTGCAGTTATGCAAAAAATGTTACACATTCCACTTCTTCATCCCTATGCATATGATTTATTTCCTTTAAAACAGGGCACCTGGGTGGCTCAGTGGGTTAAAGCCTCTGCCTTCAGCTCAGGTCATAATCCCAGGGTTTTGGGATTGAGCCCCACATCGGGCTCTCTGCCCAGCAGGGAGCCTGCTTCCTCCTCTCTCTGCCTGCCTCTCTGCCTACTTGTGATCTCTGAAATAAATAAATAAAATCTTTAAAAAAAAAATGATAACAGAAAGTCTGTGGAGAGATGGAAGTGGCTTGGTAGACTAGGGTGGTAGCAAAGGAGAGGGAGGAAAGTGCATGAATTTGAGACTTATGTTGAAGTTAGAATCAGTAAGGACTTTTTATGTTCCAACAATGTGACTGCTTTTAGTTCTTTAGTCACCTCCCATGATGCTGTTTGTATCTACTGTTCTCTTTCCCCTCTCCTGTTTCCTCTAGCAGGCAAAAACCCCCATTTATCTTTCAGAACCTAGCTCAGAAGCCTTCACTCTCACAGCATTATTTGATACATAATTTGCTTGTTTATTAAGTCTTTATTAATTGCTTTTCTGGTTTGATCAGTTATAGTCAAACCTAGCTTACAGGGTCAAGAAGTGAATGATTGATTATCAAATTTATTCATTACCCAGAATTTGATCTCATCCCAAAGAGAAGTATTACAAAGGATTTTCATATTAAACAGAATTCCCAATCAAATCCGGAAGACTGCATCCGTGCTTCATGTCCTTACACAAGGAAATAATTGTCCTCTAGAGGGTGCACATTACAAAGCCTCTGTGGTCAGATAAAACTGGTTTTATACTAACATCAAACATCCTCCTCCATCTCTTATCACAGAAAAAACTCATCTTGTATTCATGTATTTTTGAGCTCGCTAGCACTGTACTTACTATGCTTTTTTTCATTCTTTGGCCTTTATGAAATATTACAGATTTTTCATGAATATCTCTAAAAAAATTACTAAGTATTTGGATTTAGAAATAACTCTGTAATACTCTTCTTGTCTTTTTGTGTTTACTTCCAGGTACCGTTCTTAGTTTGACATTTTGCCTTTTGTAATGATTTGTAGCTGATGGAAATAATTTTGTGTCTTCCTAAAATAATGACTTTCATTCTACTAAGCTATTTATGTTTTATAATCCTCATCATTAAGTTGAATATCTTTTGAATTGTTATAAACTATTTTAAATTCTTGTTTATACTGCTTCACAAAATAGTTGCTTTATTCCAATTTTTCTTTCTACTTATTGTTTCACTACTAAGAACTGAATTTATGTGGTGAAAGTCAAATAAAATTGTTTAAATTTGGTTGCGCTTAATTTGATTTTTTATGAAGCTAGTTAAAGTACATTAATATAATAATAGCTATGTGGAGTGCACATAAAACAAGTATTCTTATTAACGTATCATTATATTTAGCAATAAACTGCTCTGCCACATATAGATTACCATCCTAAGTAGTCAGGCCATATTAGAACAATGAAATATAGACTAAAGGAGTAGAGAAATTTAAATTACAGAACTTAAGATGAATAATTAGCTTTTATGTAGTAATTAACATTTATGATGATTTTTCTTGGGTTCTGTGACCACCAGAAAATTAACCACTGCAAAATTGGGGGTCACTAATGAGTATTTTGTACATTTTGCTTTTTTGTTAATTCTATGGAATTGTAGTTTTGATCTGAAAGAAAGAAATGATTCCATTCTCCTCACTTGATTTTGGCTCTTTCACTTGTTTTTTAAATAATGATTAAGTATCAGTGGCATTTTACCTATGTGTGTAATGTTGTTTTGTATAAATGTATGGTTTTTCTGTCTTAACAGTACTCACTTTTTAACAGGGCAATGTGTTGAATTCTTTTTCATTTTAGTGTCTCTTTCTAACACACAGGAATACTCTGAAGATAGTAACTCTGAACCAAATGTGGATTTGGAAAATCAGTACTATAATTCCAAAGCGCTAAAAGAAGATGACCCAAAAGCAGCATTAAGCAGTTTTCAAAAGGTTCATATTTTTTTCTGATTGATTCTGTTTCTTAAAGTTTATTTTTTCAAATGATGTCTCAGAATTTTACCTCAGAAATGTGTTTTGGGTACTAAGTGTTAATCCTGTAAATAAGTTTGCATTTTGCAATACAGGCAGATACTTTAAAAGGGGTATACTATTGTTTTTTCTAATCAATCTATCTATAAAACAGGGCCATTGTCCTGGAAAGCTAGTATGGTTCTGGCAGAAGGAAACCACCATGATGATCAATAGGATAATACCTATTGGGATAATACCTGTAGGATAATACTACAATTTTGTTCCTTTTTTGGAGGACAGATCACACAGGTGTGGTTCCACTATTAAATAATGTGATTTCTTGATGACTAATAAACTTTTGGGTTGTTCTTACCAATGGATTATTCAGAGGGAGAAAAAGGATTTCTGGGATTGTAAAATAATTGAGCAGTAGTTCTTGTTTAATCTTTTGATGAAGAAACTTCAAAATAAGCTCACTTATCCTTAAGCATTTTAAGACACGTTTCTTTTGTAAAGCCTTTTAAAAATGGCATTGAGAAATGGTGGAATTTTGGGGGAAGTGTTTGTCATACATTTGATGTAAAATAAATTCAAAACAGACATTGGTGTCAACTAGAAAATAACATTAGCATTAAGTTAGATAAAAGATGTCTTCTGTTTTTTTAGGTTTTGGAACTTGAAGGTGAAAAAGGAGAATGGGGATTTAAAGCACTGAAGCAAATGATTAAGATTAACTTCAAGTTGGTAAGATTTGTTTTGAGGGGGAATTAAACTAATAATAAAATAAATTCTGTGGGTAAAAACCTCATGGCAACAAAATGCCATTCTGTCTACTTCTTTAAGATAATTCTGGTGATAATATTTCTATACTTAAGCCTACTTTTCATTTGTGACTACAGTAATACTAAGTTAAAAAAATTGTACATAGGAGTCAAACTTTTCTGTTTTAAGAGAACTTTTCCTATAGATATATAAAGAGTATCTGGCTGCACTGTTAACAGAATGATTTTTCCACAAGTTACTGTGTTTATTTTGGAGTTTAAATACAGGGAGTTCCACTTCCAATGATAAGTACCCAAACTAGCATCATTCTTGACTCCTCTCTTTGTCTCTCTCCCCTCCAATAATCCATTGGTAAATTCAGGTGTCTTTAAATATCTTTAAAATACATCTCATATATGAATGCTACTTAACCATTTTTATGTCTGTTAGTCTGGTCCAGGCCAAAATTCATCTCTTATCTGGATTGTATCAGAAGCTTCTTAACTGGTATCCTTCCTTCTATCCTGGCTTTATTAACAGTCTGTTCTCCACAAGCAGTGGAGTGATCCTTTTGGTTTTGTTTTTAGAGTGATCCTTTTAAAATGTTAAGTCAGATTATATCACTCCTTTGCTCTGAATCTTCTAATGGTTCCTACTCTCCTTAATAAAATTCAAATCCTTACCATAGCCTAGGAGGCCCTATGTCTGCTTACCCTTTGCTACCTTTCTGATAACTATTTTCTGTTCTCTCCTTCACTGGGCTCCTTGCTGTCCTCATGTCATCCTAAGCATGCTGCTACTTGTAAACACTTGTATTTGCTGTTTCCTCTGCCCCAAATTCTCCTCTCGATTAGCCATGTGGCTCTTTTCATTGTTTGATCGGATCTCTGTTCAGGGTCACCAAATATCAAGATGGCCTTCCTCTGACTACCTTATATAAAATCACATCCTTCCCATCATCATTTATATTCATCTTACCCTGCTGTTTTTTTTCTTTTGACTGTATCACCCCTTGATCCATTTACTTAACTTATTGCCTTTCTACTGCCCTCATCCTCATAGGTTGTAAGCTCCATGAGAGTTGGACTTTATTCCCTGTTCACATTCCTATCACCTGTAATAGTGGCTGGCATTCAGTAGGTGCTCAAATATCTTATTGGCATTGTCATGATGTAGTACTCTAATAGAATTGTTAGTCTTCAAGAGTGCAGGGTAGAGGTGGAGGGGAAAATAAATGGTAAGATGAGAGGAGTAGGGACAGACAGAACTTTAAAATCATTAAGGATAGGGGAATTTTTGAGAAAAAGATAAAGTGGAGCTTAGATAGCAGAGGTAAGGACTTGCTTCTATGGCAAATGGAAGGATAGGTGGCAGTCTATTACCACTTTTTTTTTTCTCTTATCTATATATTTCTCATATGATTCCTCCCTCTCCCTATGAACCTCTCTATCCCATATATTTGAATTTGAACTCCCTGAATTGACTTGACTGTTACCTTTGTCTAGTTAACTTGCACTAATTTTCATCCTGTTCTTGACATACTCTTTGGCATCCTCACCTACCTTCAAAAGGACCCCTCCTTCAAAAGGACCCCTCCATGACATTTATAGAAACTATCCACAAAATATTTTAGCTCATTCTTCCCCCCAAAATATCAAGACTATTAAAAAAATGTTGGACATTAATAAGTATATTTCATATTGCATTTATATATAGTTAAAGGAAAAATGTCTATCTTGAATTCACCCTTTCTAGTTCTGCTCTGATATTCTCAAAAAGTATCTCTCCATTGCACAAAGAAAGCCTTTGTGCTTTCTTTCCATTAATTATTTGTGAAAATATTAAACACCTACTGTATTTAAATTAATCGCTTAGAAGGATGTAGAAGAAGCATCAGGTATCTCAAGGGACAGGGACTTTGACTAAACAATTTTAGTCTTGACTTGAACATTGGGCTTCAAGTCTTAAGATTTTATGATTTGAAATAATACCAAAACTGTAGAAAACTGCTGTCTTAACATTACTAACATTGGTTTAGTTTTGGGGCCCATTTAAATATATGCTACCCATATGCTACCCATAAGACTTGATTTTACCATTTTACCTTGAGCCAAGATGGGAAGTAAGTAAGGGAAAGGATTATTTGTAGTTAGTGTTACCTTGCCTACCTTCCTTCACTATGTTTTATTTGCTCAAACAGCTTCTGTGAATAGTAGTTTCAGCTTCTATCCCTCATTTTCTAGTTGGACTCAGAATAGGACCCATGTTGCTGTGTGAAGCTTTTGAGCAATAAAAAGTTGAAGGGGGGGCACCTGGGTGGCTCAGTGGGTTAAAGCCTCTGCTTTTGGCTCAGGTCATGGTCCCAGGGTCCTGGGATTGAGCCCCGCATCAGGCTCTCTGCTAGCAGAGAGCCTGCTTCCTCTCTCTATGCCTGCCCCTCTGCCTGCTTGTGATCTCTGTCTGTCAAATAAATATAATAAAATAAAAAAAAGTTGAAAGGGTTTGTTATCAACTGCTCTGTGTTCACCACTGTAATTTACCTTATCTTCCCTTAATCTTAAATACAGTAACAGAATTATTGAAAAATGAGCTTTAAAATTACTAGAGCATAAGAAAATGAATTCAAAACTAACTTTTTGCTAAAATCCTATTTCAGTATCCAGACACAATCTCAAAGTTAGGACAGTCCATTTCTGATTTGCCTTTTGCCATAAGAAATGTTCTGTAGGGGTGCCTGGGTGGCTCAGTGGGTTAAAGCCTCTGCCAGGGTCCTGGGATCAAGCCCCACATCGGGCTGTCTGCTCTGCAGGGAGCCTGCTTCCTCTTCTCTCTCTCTCTCTGCCTGCCTCTCTGCCTACTTGTGATCTCTGTCTGTCAAATAAATAAATAAAATATTTAAAAAAGAAAAAAAAATGTTCTGTAACTTGGGTTTTAACAGTTCATTGATAGGACATTACCTATTATCTGCCCTTAAATGGTACTGGCATACTTGGAAATAAGGTAGTTTGATATATATTGCTCAGGCTTTTCCCATTGCTCTGTCCATTTTTCCCCACCTATCCAACTATTATTTTCTTTTTTGTAACTCAGTTCTTGCTTAGATTTCAGGGAGTCTTCTCAGGTTCATAAATACACATACTCTATTAGTCTAGTATCTACCAATGCTCCACCTCCCTGATTAAAAGTAGAGTAGAACCCAATAAAAAGAAGGATTAGTAGCAGTTGGAGATTGTGGGGACTGTGTGTGGATACAGGTTATCAGGTTAGACTCATAAATTGACTTACGTGATATACTTTGAGGGAGGATCCACCAAAATACTTAAGTTTTGAAAATTTGGTAGTTCTTCATTTCTCAGACCTCTCATGTTTCCTGGAATAACCACAGTAGTACAAATAGTCCTGCAAAGAATAGCAACATTAGCTACATCTACCATTGAGTAGAGCCTTGGGTGGGAGGACTTTTCTTGATAGTGGGATGAGTACCTGGGCTTGAAAAGATTCCTTCAACTTCACATTTTATCGCTGAGCCAACCAATAATATAGGGAAAAAAGAAACATATCACTATTAGAGAGCTTTCTCATCAAGGGGTAAATCTTCAGTAGAAGATATAGCTGATAATCTGCATAGTTGGTACCCAAGGCATTTGAAAAATTGGATTTATTTATATTTTCTAGTCTGTGAATATTTTAGTAGTTCTTAGGATTTCAGTAAATGTTTGTTGTGCAATGAGACCAGTATCTGAAATTTTGAAAATCTGTAAATTGTACTTTTTCACAGGGTAACTTTGTAATTTGGTTCATGTGTCAGTAATCTAGAAATTCTAAATTTAAGCTAAAATGTTTATGGTGTTTCTGTCATGCATACTTTCTCTATCATAAAACTTTATTTTTCAGTTACATAGTTGTGTGTGCTATAGTCTTAATCATGTAGCTGTTTCAGCACCTAAATACATATCTAATAATGCATTTTTCTTCCTTGACAGACAAACTTTCCAGAAATGATGAATAGATATAAGCAACTATTGACCTATATTCGGAGTGCAGTCACAAGAAATTATTCTGAAAAATCCATTAATTCTATTCTTGATTATATCTCCACTTCTAAACAGGTTAGATTCTGGTTTTTCCTATTGGTAATTACCAATATGTTATTACTTGTACTATTATAACAAACCCATCCAACTGTCTGTAGTTATTTATACTAAAGACTTTGTTCCCTTTTTTTTTCTTTTTTTTTCTTTTTTTTTTTCTTTTTTTCTTCTTTTTTTTTTCTTAGTTAGGTGTAGAGATTTCTAGTTAAACAGTTAGACCGGGCATTAATGTGCTTTAAAAATAATAAATACTATTTTCTTAATTATAGTACTAATCATACAATATTAAAAGGCAATAACTAGCTAAGTCTCTTCAAAAACTATCTTGAGGTACGTAATCCGCACACAACTTTTACAGGTTTAAACTCCCATATAGTTACTATCATAGTTCGTTCCAATAAACTCCATCATCACTTCAGTTAGATTTGTGTAGATTTGATTAAAAGATCCTTGAGGAGACCCTGTACTCATATTACTAATTGGCATTACTCGGTAGGTATTTAGTAAATGCTTTTACAAAGAATGGGTGGTTGTTAGATGATAAAATAAAGGGCTAATGATGAAGAAACTATAGTGAAGCTTGGGAAGGATAGTGCTTTTGTTATTCTAGATTTTGGTTATTAAGAAAAGCAATGATTTTACTGTATTGCTAAGATAATTTTTAATTGGATTGCTGTTCATACTCTATTAAGCAACATAACTTTCTTAAACACCATGATATTTTAGCATAAGAAGTACTCTCTGTCATTTATTCTCCATTCATTTAGGATTTCTTAAAATGTTTAATACTTTTCATGTTCATTATAAACAATGTTCATTTCAGAATCTCATTTTGTATTTTCTACTAGATGTCAATTTTATTTCTTGAGGTAGTTTATTACTTTTACTCTTTCTATCTAAAATATATGTAAAGGAAATAGAGAAAAAAATAAACTTAAAACTGATCTTTGAACAACATGGGGGTTAGTGGTAGCCCTTCCCCTTTGCCCCCCCTGCTGTGCAGTTGAAAATCTGTGGTATAATTACTGACTTCTCAAAAACTTAACTACTAATAGCCTGCTGTTGACCAGAAGCTTTACCTATAACATAAACAATTGATTGACATATTTTGTATGTAATGTGTTCACTGTATTCTTATAATAAACTAGAGAAAAGAAAGTGTAAGGGAGAAAATACATTTATAGTACTGTGTGGTACTTACCAGAAAAAAATCCACGTATAAGTGGACCCACACAGTTCAAACATGTTATTCGAGCGTCAACTGTATATGTTTTGTTAAAACATTAGTAAGTAATGGCACTCTAGAGTTGTTACATATTGGGGGGCTTTTCTTATGTGGGGAAATATATTCTGAGTTTTACGAACAAGTGTCATCAAAACATTTTTGGTACACTATTTATAAATGTTACGCCAGATGTTGGTGGGGGGGGATTAATTTCAAACTTCAAGATTGTGTTTTGCTTTGTGCTCTTATATGTACGCTGTTTGTCTTTGAAAGTAAGAATAGATATTAGGTGGGTGGTACTCATTCAGTATGCCATCAGCAGTCATGAATAGATAGGCAGCCGTTTGTGAAAGTATTAAACTTTCCTGTTGTCATGGCCCTCTTAGCTCTTGATTCTGTTAGAGACCGAGAGAATCAGGTATTCAAACAAAGGCAGAGCCCAGTGTGGGGGGAAGAAGGTAGGTAAGAGAGCTTATCACAATGCAAAATAGAATGATTTCCATGAAAAAATGTCACACTTAGATTGGTGAATTGATGGTGTTTAGACACAGCTAAAATTGTGCTGGACTTCACCCTCTACATAACTCCGCAGTTTACCAGTAACTTAAGAGCTGTGTAGTTTGATTACTTGATTAATTACATTTGTAGAAGAATTTTGGAGGGAAGCTTATTCTTTGTTTCTTTAGCTGCTTGCCTAGTATTTGCCACATAGGTACCAAATGAGAGTTGAGTGAATAAGATACACACTATTAATAACAGCACAACTAGTTCAAAGTGTATGTCATTCATTTCCATCAATATAAAAAGAGTTACTAGATTGAGAAAGACAAATCATACTATTAGAGCATTGGGTTCTTTCTGGGTTTTACTTTCTAAAAACTCACATAAAAACAGATCTTGGCACTTTTTGTAAACTTGGTCTCTGTTTTGCTAAGGTTTTGTTAAATTATAGACTGACACAGCCATTCAGAAACAGGGTATCTTATGTGTATTAAAGTTCAAAGATGCACTTTTAGTTTGTTCAAATTAACTTTATTAACAGGTACAAATTTGCTGTTTACAATTATAGAATTCTGATTTTTTATGTCAGATGGATTTACTGCAGGAATTCTATGAAACAACACTGGAAGCTTTGAAAGATGCTAAGAATGATAGACTGTGGTTTAAGACAAACACAAAGGTAACAACAATTACCTTTTTTTTTTTTGAAGAATGGGAGGGCGTCCTTAATAAACTGTCCTAAAAATTCATGCCTTTTCCTGTCAAAATCTTTTAATTTTAATAAATATATTCTTTTACAGCTTGGGAAATTATATTTAGAACGAGAAGAATATGGAAAGCTTCAAAAAATTTTACGCCAATTACATCAGTCTTGCCAGGTAGCGTTCTCTTGTTTTTTCTTAATATTTCTTCATGATAAAAAAGCATAAGAAAAAAATTATATTTGAAACTTTTACTTAGGGATGTTTTTGTTCAGGATTCATCCCCAAAATAAAATTTGGCAAAAAAGACACCAAGAAGCTAATTTTTTCTGTGTATTACATTTCTTCCTGTTTATTATTTTTGTGGAGTGAGGCACAGGTATCCATAAACAAATAGGCTAGTCATTAATACTTATTAGGAATAAGCCTTTCATATTTAGTTGTAGACCATGTGAAAATCAGAAAGAACATTAGAGACATGTAATAAAGATATTTCATATCTAGTTCATAGTATATGAATCTTCTGTAACAGTACTGTCCATTAGGACTTCATATGATGCTAGAAACTGGAAATATTCTGTGTCTCCACTAATATGATAGCACCAGCTACATGTCATCAGGCAGTTGAAATGTGTTTGAGTTTTTAATTTTACTTAATTTAAATTTGAACGGCCACATGATTGGGACAGTGCACCTCTATAACTTTTTAACTGCAGTTACAATTTTGTGTTTCCTTTTTTGTCTTGATCAATAAGTTATTTTATTTTGTTTAAAATTTATGTGGAAATACTGTTTTAAATGTTTTTAAACCTCTTCCTATATTATGTACTGTTTTAATTGTATATGTCATTTCTTTGAATGGGAAGAAAGTTGATCAGGAAAGTGTTCTAATCACCTGCATGTATTTTCATTTAATGACTAAATAGAATTCTTTTGGGAGAACAAATAAATAATAAATTTTGGCTTTGTGTAAGAGCTTGATATTTATGATTATCTGCCTGTTACCTATATGCTATTTTTCATGGCATATATTTTGTGGGCTTTTGGTTATTTTTCAAAGTTGAACTAAATGTTACCACCTTTGTTAACTCCTTTGACATCCATCAGCAGAGTTAGTCACTTTCTCTTCCATTCTTCTGGGCACTTCAAATAGAATCATTATTATAATTTATCTGTTTACAGCTTAATCTTCTAGGTTGTGAACTTTTGGGGCCAGGAACATTAGCTTATTTAACTGTGTATTTCTCCATGTTAGACCTAGTGCCTGGTAGTAGGAAGGCACTTAGAAGTACTTTTTGATCAAATCAGTGGATATAAAGTAGTTGTGAAGATTTGGGGAAGACCATAAAGAATCTCTTAGGTAGAAACAAACATTATAACATTTTATACATTAAAAAATACTTCTGGTCACTTTTTCCTTATTGAATGACTAGAAAGTACAAAGGATGTGTGCATTCCTTTTTGGCTGTTAAAGGTAGTGTTCTTAATGTTCTAGATCTTAATTAAAATTTGTAGTGTGTGCTCACACAGAATTAGTATTATAAGGATCTCAGGCTAACTCAACTAAAAATTACTAGGTTAGCTGAGTTCTATTTTAACTAAAGTTCATTATTTGCTTCCTTAGACTGATGATGGAGAGGATGACCTGAAAAAAGGTACACAGTTATTAGAAATATATGCTTTGGAAATTCAAATGTACACGGCACAGAAGAATAACAAAAAACTTAAAGCTCTTTATGAGCAGTCGCTTCACATCAAGTCCGCCATCCCTCATCCACTGATCATGGGAGTCATCAGAGGCAAGTTTTGTTTGGAGAAGGGTGGGCACTGTCACAGGAAGATACCATGGTGTCACTGGATATGACTGAATGACTCCGAAGGCTTTTTCTGTTTTAGTGAAAATAAATGGCAAAGTAGAAAAATCAATGAAATGATGTAGTCTTGGAAAGAAATTAGAATTAGAAATTGAATTTTTTGTCTTGTAAAATATTACATCAGTGAACTACTTCAGTAGAAAATTTACCATCACATGTTCTATTCTCAAGACTTGGGGGTGGTTGGGAGAGGGGGGAAAAAAGTTCTGTTCTTGAATTGTAGTGATATACATAAAATTATTTTCTGCGTCAACTAAGAATAAAGATTTGCAAATGCTTGTTTGATGTTTATAATGAAGGACTTGCTTTTTGGAATTAGAGTGAGTACTGGGGCACCTGTGTGACTTAGTTGATTAAGTATCTGACTCTTGATTTCGACTCAGGTCATGATCACATGATCACAAGGTTGTGAGATCAAGCCCTACATTCGGCTCCATGCTGAGAGTGGAGCCTGCTTGAGATATTCTCTCTCTCCCCTTCTACCCCCCCCCCCCCCTACCAAAAAAAAAAAAAAAAATTAAAGTGAGTACCTTGGGGTAGTACAATTCAGTCTACAGAATTAAAAGACTGGAAAGCCACTGTCATAGTTTTCATTTGATTTTTATAAAGTGCTCAATCATACTATAGAACTGCAAATGCCCTTTTATCCTGTTTTTATTCTTATAGAATGTGGTGGTAAAATGCACTTGAGAGAAGGTGAATTTGAAAAGGCACACACTGATTTTTTTGAAGCCTTCAAGAATTATGATGAATCGGGAAGTCCAAGACGAACCACTTGCTTAAAATATTTGGTGTTAGCAAATATGCTAATGAAATCGGGAATAAATCCATTTGACTCACAGGAGGTATGTGTGTGTTCTAATTGTTCATTTCTGTCACCTGTCTTTTCTGGAAATAAATGTTATTCTTTCTTTGTACATATAACATAGTTAATTTTTGTTTTTTTTTCCTTAGGCCAAACCATACAAAAATGACCCAGAAATCCTAGCAATGACGAATTTAGTAAGGTAAGATTTTATATTTCGGTTAAGGTAAATATCCTTAAAGCAATGAATTAGAGGGGAAAGAGGGAGAGAAATTTTGAGAATTCAGTTAATACGCCAAATTTACTCTTCTGTATTTAGGTTTGAAATATTCAAAGTTTGAAATTTTTATTTTTTTAAGTCATTTATTCTGTTTCTCTTAGTTCCAAGATTTTATATAGTATTGATATATGTAGTATAGTATTGGCTGCTTTTTTTATTATCTACATGTTTGTGTGTGCGCTGTTTTTCAGTAGAAGACTGATTGTAGATATCTTAAAACAATTTCACAGTGTTTGCTGTTTCTACCTCTCTTACTCCAAAATGAAATTATGAATTGGTCCACACAAATCAAAAATTTTCAATAAGACAATGTCTTTACTCACATATTTTCTCAATTAATAAGGTTTAAAAAATCATTTTTAAAAAGTTTACCTCAGTTAATTTTCTGAGGTGAGGAGCAGAGGGGTCATACTGGTTAAGAAACCCAAGGATTTATTGATGACTTCTGTGGTATGATGGTTAGCAACTGAAAAACCTGCTATGATCAATTAATATTCAATAAGATACAGAAAATAAAGCGAAAGGCCTAGAAAAGAAGGCCTATTTTTGCAAAAGAAATCAGTGAGCAAGAAAAATTTTCCTCTGGGCTGGAATAAATGGAGCATAGGTTTTTTCATGTCTTTTGTTTTAAATTGTGCTGCCGAGTCTACCAAAGCAGGAAGAATATTAGGGACATAGAGTAGGGTGGGGTTTTTGCATATGTATGTGGATACTGGAAGTGATAAAACATTCTTTTAATAGTCTTTTATGATTTAAAAGTACTGTTAGACTATAAATTATGAGTCACCCATATATAAATTTTATATACTTGGAGCAAATAGCTTATTACATGATATTGTTTGAGTTCCTATGTAAAATGTCTTCATTTATTTTGTTTTTATCTGGCTATAGGTTTTACAAATTACTAGGTTGGTTGGTTTAAGGAAACTTTAATTTTAGCTGTAAAAAATAAGAATGATTTTATTTTAAGGGGACTAGGAATAGATAGATAAGAACTCTGAATTGCAACATTAAAAAATCAGTTTCTTTGGGGCACCTAGGTGGTTCAGTTGGTTAAAGGTCCAATTCTTGATTACGGCTCAGGTCTTGATCTCAGGGTTGAATTCAAGCCTCACATTGGGTTCCATGCTGGGCATGGAGCCTACTTTTAAAAAAGTACCATATTCTTTTATTGTTTATTTCTTTATTCTCAGTTTGTTGAATTAAATAGATTTTAGTTATGAAAGAAGATTTCTTATTCCTCAGCATTTGGCCACATTAACTAAAAGATGATTTGGTTAGAGATTCACTTCGTAATACTTTAGAAAAATGTTTATGAAGTTAAATTGTTGAGCAACAACTAAACTTTTAAAACTCTTAAAAATTGAGGGAGAGTTTTGCACTAGACATTAATATTTCATCTAAATTAAATTGGTTAAATACATTAAAATGGACTAAAGGGCTGATTTATCAGAAATTTAAGTGGTAATAGCTATACTTATATATTTGCTATATCATACAATTACTGAAACCTCTGTATTGGAACTCAGTTTATTTTAATGGTAAATTTCAACCCAAGCAAGTGGCTTGTGTTGTCCCACATTTTGTATATATTTTTTTAAATCACTTAAAGAGTGGAAGAATGTCTCTTGGTTAAAATATACACATGCGCAAGTGTTTCACTACTTGAATATATCCTCCTGTAGTATATTTTGCAATAATGTATTTGGGGTAGGTGAAAAAAGTAATGCTTCCTAATTTTATCTTCCTAGTCAGTTGCCAGCAGACTAGAGGAAAATAATTCCTGTTGAAGCACTTGAATCACCTGCCCCTAACATGAAGTTACATTGCGACCCAACAGATGGAAGCACAGCAGAGTGCGTGCAGAATGGCTGATGATATGTCTTACATATAAAGCAGACAGTGGTGCCATATCCAGAAGGTTGGCTTCTTCCTTCTCAGCACCTTTAGCAATCCCCATAGTGTCCTACAGAGTTATTTTAAGAGCAGATAGTAGACACCTCAGAGAATTATGAACATAAATCAGCCTTTGGCCTTCTGCAGCAGTGTCCATCACATTCTCCTTTGTGTGTGTGTCCCATTTGGCACTAACTACCTGCCACTGATATTTCTGCTATATAACTCAGTGGGATTTTTAAGACTAGAGAAAATTTAGAATCAAATGTTCCCTTTGCAGAGTTCGGGCAATTGCTGGTAGCTTTCTAGAAGATAAAAATTAGGAAGCTGCATTTCTGGATAATCTTCAGAGAGAATGTAGTATCTTAGTTCAAAGACAAGGCCAAACTCCTCCATACAGTAGTATGTATGAAACCTAATTTCTTAGGGATTAAATGATAAATGCACAATTTAACTTGAAAGTATCAAGCATTAAACAGTTTTTAAATTTGTAAGTTTTTAACAGTGTTAAGATTTTGAGATTTTAATGAATATATATAAATATAATATTTGACCCCCAAAAGAAGATTTATTTAATCTTTATAAAACCAAAAACATTAAAAAAGAAATTAATTTTATTTGCAGAAGGATGTGTGTATATAACTCTGATTTCTATGACAAACTGTAACGTAATTTAGATTATTGCATATAAAAAACTATAACGTAATTTAGATTATTGCAAAAAAATTAGGCTTTTGGATTATCTGAGTTAATACATGACTTCTCCATGTTTGACAAGATTTGTACTTTTCCTTTTAGTGCCTATCAGAATAATGACATCACTGAATTTGAAAAGATTCTGAAAACAAATCACAGCAACATCATGGATGATCCTTTCATTAGGGAACACATTGAAGGTATAGTCTTTCTGCTAACTGAATTCAGTTACCTTCTTTGCCACTGTCAGTCAGTTTTTCTTGAGGGAGCAGCACGGAATTAAACCAGTTTTCCTCTGTGTATTGCCGAGAATAGAAATGTTTCTAAATGCGGTCATGGAATAGGATATTACTTAAAGTTATAAAGCTGTTTTAAAGAAATCATCTACCAGTTTCCTGCTATTTATTAACATAATCAAATTCTTATATGATGTGCAATTCATTTAACGTGGCTGTCTGTCCTTTTTATTCTAACTTAGATATTGTTGCATGTTTATTACTAATACTTAGGTTCAAAATTCATTTTTAGGATTTTGGACAAGTAACAAAAACTTTAAAAATAGTCTGCAATAGATGATGCAGAGATGCATTACTTTGAAGGGTGGCTAATGTACCAGTAAGTGCATGAGATTTTTTTAATAAGTTCTATTGGATTAACAAAGACAAAAATCATTCCTTGTTCTGGGGTCTCTTTTGTACGTCCAGTGTTCCCACCTGTTATGGAGCTATTTGAGGGTTTTTAAATGACCATTTGGAACAACTCATTCAAATACTTAAATTCCAGATGCATCATGAAAATCCAAAGAATACTTTGGAAGTAATGTTCTTTTTTCCCCACCTTCCTTTCTCTTTCATTCAGCAGACATTTTAAAAGTTCTTGTATGAAGCTAGAGTGGTACTACACTTGGTGGATATAGAAAATTTTAGAAGCCTTGTGCATGAACTCCAGTCTAGTTTTTCGTTGTTATTTTTTTAAGGTGCTTGTCTGTGAAGAAATGGGAGAAAATTGCACGATCATTGTATAAAATATAGTACTTTAGATTTTGAGAGAACATAAAATAAGGGACTTGACTGGCATGAATCAGAGCTTCCTGAAAGATGTTAACTATAAAGGAGAGATGAGCAGTATAGCGTCTTATTGAAAAGGCAAAGAGGATATTTTAGGTAGCATCACAACATAAGCAAAATCAGGGAGGTGGGAACAAGAAAAATTATGGGAAAGTCAGCCTCTAATCTTACTGTGCGTCTGTTGGACCCAAATATTTTTAGCTCCAAATACCTTATATCTGGGGCACATGATTGGCTCGGTCAGTAGAGCATGTTACTCTTGATCTTGACGTGAGGAGTTCGAGCCCCATGTTGGGCATAGAGCTTGCTTAAACCAAAAAAAAAAAAAAACCCAAATGCATTATGTCCTTGCCAGGCAGAAAGACTTTGACAAAAAAATTGATATAATTAATTAATGTGATTTACCAGTACATAATGTTTCATGCAGATATACAGACTATTAAATTTATTTTCATTTTTGTCTTTCAGAGCTTTTGCGAAACATCAGAACACAAGTGCTCATAAAATTAATTAAGCCTTACACAAGAATACATATTCCTTTTATTTCTAAGGTACTTATATTCATGGATCTTAATACTAAATTTGTAGTTATAAATGCAGTGTATTTAAAAATTATTTTTGGTAACATTTGATACTGCATTTGCAAAATACAGCATAGCTTAGGGCTTTCCTTTTAACATAAATTATTCTGTGTTTTCTTGGAGTAAGTTAACAGTAAAGAGAAATAAAGAATCATTACATTTCTTTTTAAAGATTCCTTTAGCCTCAAAGAACATTGTAGAAGACAGGGTAGTGGGTAAAATATGTAATTGATGTAGTGTTAACCCAACCACAATAAAATTGTGGTAAGAATATACTTTAAAGATTACAAAGTTAAATTTGGTCAGACCTGTGTTCTCAGAAATATTTTGAGGTGATAATGAAGTTTGTCTTAAATTTCTTTACACTAAATTTCCTTTAAGTGGTGGGAATGAATCTAAAATCAGAATAATTATTCCTTATCATAAAGTATTTAAAGAAGTTAATTACTAGAATTATAATAAGTCTTTTGTCTTAGGAGTTAAACATAGATGTAGCTGATGTGGAGAGCTTGCTGGTGCAGTGCATATTGGATAAGTAAGTACTTGGCTGTTTCTTATCACAAAATGTTTAGGACCATAACATTTGAATACTGGGAGCAGAGGTAGCAGTGGAATTCTTGATTTTTCACAAAAAGCACCCTCTGGCTATAATTTTCTATTAAAAGAGATACATATGTATGCATGGTAGCTTTTTGTGGATGAGTAAGCGTATTAAGCCCTTGATCTCTGAAAAAGTTGTAAATGGTTTTCAGAAAGATTTCTCATTCTTTATGTGTCCCATATCCAGCTAGAGAATTATTTAATGAATAGTGGGGGTTTTTTTTCCCTGTTTTTAAAGTATAAGGTATGGTATGTAATAGTTCTGAAATTACATGTTTCTTAAAAGCAGTTTGGTATTCAAAGCTTCACAAGCTTACATTTGCTCGATTAATCAGGTAAGTCTCTGCCTAGTGATTCTTTTAGTGAAATTGATAAAAGGTGGCTGAAATCCAGTTTCTGTGTAGAGTTTTAGTAAGGCAGTGAATGAAATAAGTAATCCTGAATTGGGTCACTTAGTAGAGGCAGCAGTTTCTTCTTTTGCATTTACTGACATTGTACATATTTTATGGAACATTAGTCTAAAAATTACAGTCAGTGAGAATGGTTTGTAGACATGTCTTTTATTTATTTCCAGCACTATTCATGGCCGAATTGATCAAGTCAACCAACTCCTTGAATTGGATCATCAGAAGAGGGGTGGTGCCCGATATACTGCACTAGATAAATGGACCAACCAACTAAATTCTCTCAACCAGGCTGTAGTCAGTAAACTGGCTTAACAGAGAACAAGCTTTCACAGACGTACTTAATGCAACAGTGCAGAGATGTAATCCTTAAAAGAACTGGGAATGGCAAAACTACTGTCGGTTGATGTGTCCTGAAAATTATTGGAGTTATGGCAGAAGTGCTTTTTTTGATCAACTGGTTTGTGTTTTGCTGCTGCATTTATCCCAAGAAAAACAGCTTTAATCTCCAGAAGAAAACCAAAATGCCATGGGATTTATGCTGTATTGACATCTTGCCCTAAACATACAACATCATAGTAATTTGTCATGGGCAACATGACCAGAGAGAAGATTTTTGTCATGATTTTAAATACACTGACATGTTACTGTTGGTTAAATTTAAACATGTTTTACCTGCAGAAATTCTCTCACAAATAACCTGCAATAACTTGAAATGCATACCCTTTTGAACACTTCCTTTTCTCATGTATAAATTAAAATGTTTGCTGCATTTTGCAAAATGTCAATTCTCCAAAAATGTGTCCGTATATTTCTGTACCTGCAGTGTAGTAAAGGTTTAGATGAAACCCCATAATTATAGTGGCATACTGTCACTTAGGTTTCAAGCAGCAAAATAAACAGTGCAGCTCAGAAATTGTAGTTTGGTTCTTGATGTGTTTTTATTACATTTGGGGTTTTTGTTTTGTTTTTTAGTACCTTAGAAATTTCAGATTATTTTATCTTCAGTTAATGATTTTAAAAAGCCTGGGAGCAAGTAAATTGGTTATTTGCTTTCAGGTTTTTTAAAGTAGTCTTTATTGATAAAGTAAGGAGAACTAGTTTCTAACAAAACACTTGCATAGTACTTACTTTGACAGTGATGCTTTAAAGGAATAAAATTCTTTTTTTTTTTCTAAGAATGATATTCCTTTTTAAAATAAATTCTAACTCTCAGAATGTTCACTTTAAACAAATATGCCAGAACATAGACAGCTAAATGAATGTTACCCTGTATAGTGATCATGCTGGAAAATTATTTCCTAATTCCAGCAATCTACCATTGCTCAAAACCTCTTGGGTTTTGCTCTTTTAGAATTGCATTCAGAGCTAATTTAAGTCATACACACTATTAAGTTTATGACTCACATTAAGAAAACAAAAAGTATTATCAGGCTTGATTTTTTTTTTTATGGTTACATCACTTGGCACCAAATGACTTTGGACAGTTTCCAAAAATTAATCTATCTTTGAGGTAAGAGTAGAAAGGATGCAGCTAGCTTTGAAGGCAATCCCAAAAAAGTTTGAAAGGTATTTTGAGCAGTGGTAGCATAGTTAGGATAATGAACTATGGCCTTCCAAGGTGACCACCTAAAAGGAAGGATAGCTCATTTGAATGTATTGAGTTTTGGATGTATTTGTTTCATTTAAAAAAAAAAAAAATCACATTATTTTATAGTGTCAAAAGGAAGAACTAAGATTAAGATAATTTTTGGTTTTTCTATTGCTTGTCATTATGTAAAAAGAAGTGAGTGGCAGTTCAGAAGGAAGACTGTTGTAACTGAAGAATGACAACCAAGAATTTTTGATCATTAAATCAGATTTTATAAACAGTGGAAGGAGCATGGACTTAAAACAAGGCATGCTTATTCGGTTTTGTCAAAATTTTACTAAAATATGTGATATATATTTATACTAAAACTATATAATCCTTAGATTTAGGAAAGCAATCAGTTAATGTCTTTAGCAGATTAAAGCAGTATTAAATACAGGTGCAACTTGGAAATTGTAGAAAACTGAAAGAAAACGGAAGACAAAATGTCTCTGGTAGGGAATAAAAAAGTTTAAGATATTATAAAATTATGTGTATTTTCTTCTCTTTTACATAAATCATTTGTGAAAAATGTGCTAAATTTTTTTTTACAGGAGTGATAATAATTAGGACTTATTTTTCAATATAATTTGGAGACCCTTTGTTACCCAAATAAAAATGACAAGTTTCTGTGCCTGTATTCAAATATGTATGCATGTCATAACTGTGGGGAAAGGCCCTGCTTAACTCAGAGTTGATGGAATTAGAACTTAGAGGATTTGAAAGATGTGATTTAACCTTTACATTCCAACCTTTACAATGTCCAGTTCCCCTGTGATTTCTTTGCCCCATGGCAATAGTGCATCTTCCAGTTTTTAGAGGGAAAGCATGCACTTACTCTTTAGGAAACTGGGCTAAGCATATAACAATATCCAAAGTTATACCATAATCTTTAATGTAATTCTATGTATCACATAGGCTTTGTTTAAATATTTCCTAAATATAAGTTCTTTTTTTAAAGTTATTTGCCACATTTATTTTAGGACACAGGTTTTTGATACATCTTAACAGTCTGATTAACTTAAAGCTATTTTTACTTTTTCCCATTAAACATGTTCTGTGTTTCTGTGCATCTTACAGAGTTGAAATTTTTTTTGAGATTGCATTTCAGAATATAACTAAATTTAAGGGAAGTAAAAAGTTAATTGGCAAATTCTTAGCATTTTGAATTACTGATTAAATCTTTCCTTCTATGAAAACAACAGTAACAAATACTTCACATCATATCGTGATGTGTTTATCTCCTTTCTCTTCTACCCCAAACCTGGAAACACTCACTCCACAGCAAATTCGGCTGCTGTTCGGCTGAGGGTAATAGATAAATGTCTGCTGTAAGAGCTGGATTTCCACTACTCATTCCAGCTCTTATGTTGATTTTTTTTTTTTTTTTTTTTTTTTTTTTTTAAGTAATCTCTATGCCCGGTGTGGAGCTAGAAATCATGACTTGAGATCAAGATTTGCATGCTCTGCCAATTGATTTCAGCCAGGCGTCTCTAACATAACTTGATATTTTTAAGATGAGATGAATGTGTAGGTACTCAGAATTGTTTTCATTACATGAGTCCCTTTAACTAAAGATTGATAATTGTCCTTCAAGACTACAGAGGATCTGATGTCACATTGGGGTATAGTTTTAGTGAGGCTTGTTTTAAATGGGCTACACTGGGGGGCCTCTAGTACTTTTTCATTACCTTGTGAGATAATGGTTTGTCAGAGACTGGAAAACAGCTCTTGATACTTAAAATATCTATAATGGTAGAATTTTTTTTTCTTTTTTAATCAGTAGTCTTTATTCAGTAAACAATGGTAAGTAAATTTTCTTTTCAGGTGGAGTAGGGTGGGGTGAGGTTATCTAATAAGTATATAAAGCAGCTTATGCTGGTAAGGAACAATGGTCAGTTTAGTCCATAGGATAAAAATGGATTGCCTAATAGATTCCCTCTTAACTTTTTTAAGGGACTCAGAGATAACTACTTTTATTTATTTACTAAGTCTCCTTTTTAACAACAACCTGTTTTTAAAATATTTTAATTATTCTTTATATGTTTTAAAATATTTTAATTATTCTTTATATTTAAATAAACCTGAAAAGTTTTCATTCGATGCAGGTCTTTAAATTGAAACTTGTGCTTTAAAAAACTAGTGAAGCTAGGAGTTTCATTCTTTATATGGGATTTAAAATAGCCTTTTGAACTGAGATACTTCAACAAAATACAGAAGGAATTGACTTTTAGCTATTTTGTTTCAAAGTGTTAGTGAATATTATCCAAGTACTTAGAATAAGACAGTGGGTGTTGGGTCTCAGAACTTGAAGCTCAGGGACTTTGGTCTTCATTTGCGTGACCAAAATCAAAACTTTCATTTTTTTGGAGGTTTTACTTGTGTTTGTATTAGGTTCTTCCCTACACATACAACAAGAGCATCTTATATTTTGATACAATTACAAGTAGGAATCATTTATAAGAACTTCCTTAATGTAGACATCAGAGATTCTTAACTTTTTGAATGCAAGTATATCAGGATCTATTAATTCAAGATTATTAGATTTTTCTGTATCTTTTAGCTAGCATGTGCCCTTAATAGAATGGATTAACCAATGATGTTTATTTCTCTTTTAATCATTCAATGAGATTTGAAAATTTTTCACTTTTGGAATTTCAAGGTAAATTATAGAAAGGTAATGTCCTTTGGAGTATTTAAGTTTTATGAAGCTAAGCACCACAAAACATCTAATCTAAATCACTGATTCTGAATATTTCTCAAAAAGCTAAAATTCAGTATCACTTAATTAGCTTTTGATCCTTGAGAAGACTTATTTAACTTAGGTAATAACCCAAAAGAAAACCAATGTGTGGTTCTCTAAATTTTTGCTTCTTTAGAGTTATGTTATTTTATAAACCTGCTGGAATAATTAAGAATGCTGTCAAATTATATGGCATCCAAAGGTAGATGCCAACTGTGAGAGGCCAGAAAAGAGGCAAGAAAAGAAACGTTTCTTAGATATTTACCTTTCTACTGGGGACATCTTTATTTCCTCTTGGCCAAGTTTTTTAAATTTAAACCTTGGTCATGATTTTCACATTAATGGCTGGCCAGCATTAGTGTGTGTGTATGTACACTTACACATGTGAGTGCATATATAAGTAGGAATACAAAATTTTTTTTTTTTGAAGATTTTATTTATTTATTTGACAGATCACAAGTAGGCAGAGAGGCAGGCAGAGAGGAGGAAGCAGGCTCCCTGCTAAGCAGAGAGCCCCATGCCAGCCTTGGTCCCAGCCTTGATCCCAGGACGGATCAAGGACAAATCATGACCTGAGCCAAAAGCAGAGGCTTAACCCACTGAGCCACCCAGGCAGCCATGGAATACAAAATCTTAACTTCCAATCCATCACGATTATTTTTTCCAGTTGCCATTACTTTTCCCTTACCTCTGATGCAAACATATGCTATGAAAAGAATTGCCACTGTACCAGTAACTTCGATGTGACCTAAGTTTCTCCTGAAGTCAGTGTTCAAAGTTACAAAACAATCTAGAGGAATTAGATAGTTGGGTTTTTTTTTTTAATTTCCGAAACAGAGCATTTTAAAATCAATTGATAAAGGTTTTATTGGACATATTCATCTTAACGTGAATGTAAAAATTATAAAATTAATCTGGATGTTTTAATCATCCCATAAAGTTGTCAAAAGTTCTTGCATGCTTAGTTATAGTACATACTAATGCTGTGTTAAATATCTCATTTTGTTAATGTTTGCCAAGCTCCTGTTTAACTGCTACAATACTAAATTTTTATGCATCTATATTAAATAACAGTTTGGGGATAATTAAGTTTTCAATTACATGTCAACCAAAAAATAGAGCAATGATGGAAAATGCAAAATCGTTTACATTTTGCATTACGGTTATATTACAAGTCTTCTCAGTGTTTTGTTTTTTTAAGATTTTACTTATTTTTTAAAAAATATATTTTACTTACTTATTTGAGAGAAATGAGCCTGGTTGTGGGGGGAGGGGCAGATGGAGGGGTTCCCCTTGAGCAGGGAGTTCAATGAAGGGCTCCACCCTGGACCCTAGGATCATGACCTGAGCTGAAAGCAGACACTTAGCTGACTGAGCCTCCCAGGTGCCCATGTTCTAACTAGTTTTTGACTAACATTAAAAATGACAAATTCCTTGAGCTCATACTTACCAGGTGGTAGAAAACAGGTTACTAGAAGCGTGGCAGAGGATGTCTACCTGTAATTAGAAGTCCCACAAGTTAATACTGATACTATGTGCAGGATGAGTCACAAGATGCTTTAAGACTTACGTACTCAAAAGGTTTTTGACTGGAAGTACACCTTCTTCATTGGTAATAAAAGTTACATATTCTGCCTCTAAGTATTTACTGTGTAAATACTAGTCTCAGCACAAAATACAATGGCTTCAAACATTACACTGTGTGTATTTGATTGAGTAATTAAATAATGTATACTTCTCTGAAATTGCTTTTAAATGTTTTAAGAATATTTCTCTGAAAATCATGCTCACTTTGTTTGAAATTCAGGGTTTAAATATTTTCCACTTTTAAGATTACCTTCTTGTTCTTTGAAGCATTCATAGAGGAGTTGACCTCTCCTGAACCCTGTTTAATGATCTATCCTTAAACAATTCATGTTGCAAACAAGTATTTTGGGAATTACTCCTTCAGTATAAAATTAAACATTTCTAAGCAGGAAATTAGGCCAAGGAAGGAAGTGGAGGAAAAATGTACTCTCCCAAATCCTTGCTATAGTGCTTTAAAATGAACCCTTTAGGGCTGCAGCATCTAAGAAAACATTTGTGAATTTATTATGTATCCAAAAAATAATGGTCTCAGGTGTAACTTTTAACCTAGTGGAATGGACAAACCCTAATCTCAAAACACGATAACAAAATCAGTTTTTGAAAGTCAAAAGAACTTCTAGGCTAAGACTTGTGGCCAAGGTTCCAATGTAAATCTATAAAACCAATGTCCTTTGGCCTTCTAAGTTATGGGAGTAGGACGAAAGGAGGCAGATTGAGTACTATTTTGGCTCCTTTTTTTTTTAAGATGTATTTATTTGACACAGCGAGAGAGAGTATAAGCAGGGAGAAAGGCAGGAAGAGGGAGAAGCAAGCTCTTGACTAAGCAGGGAGCTGGATGCAATGCTCAATCCCAGGACCCTGGGATCATGACCTGAGCAGAAGGCAAATGCTTAACCAACTGAGCCACTCAGGTGCCCCTTGGCTACATTTCAAACAGTAGTAGTAGTTGATTATGTTGATAGAATTAGCCCAGGAAGGAACTACCTAAGCAATATATACATCAAATATCCTGAGTTGTATTTTTATTTACTTAATAGTTTTATGGTTCCAGGGTGCTTCAGTGGCTCAGTTGGTTAGGAGGCTGAAACTTGATCTCAGCTCAGGTCTTGATCTCAAGGTCATGAGTTCAACCCCCCCCCACCGAGTGCAGCCTACTTTAAAAAAAAAAATTTATGGTAATTTTTAGAGTAATGAATGGAGGTTTATAGTTTTCTTTTCAAAAACTTAATTTTTTAAGATTTTATTTATTTATTAGAGAGAGAGAGCGTGAGAAAGGGAAGGGCCAGAGGGAGAAGCAGACTGCCTGCTGAATGGAGACCATTATGCGGTGTTCCATCCTGGGACTCTGGATCATGACCTGAGCTGAAGATAGATGCTTAACCAACTGAGCCACTCAGGGGTGCCTGTAGAAACCTATTTTAAGCTTTGTTGTATTGTAATTAATCCAGTGTAGGTTACTGCACTTGAACTAAAGAAGGGTTACCTACCTTGGACCTGCCAAAAATGAATTGTTGTGAACAAACATAGACTACAGACTGATGTGCTTTATAGGGTAGGATTGAATTGATATGGTAGGATAGGATGGATATTTAAAACTTGGTCTTTCCCCCTTATTATTGTTGTCTTCATCACCAAGAGGCAATTAGGAGAGAAATCTAAAAGTGCTAGAATACTAAAAGAAACAAATTTTTTCTAACACCTTTATTTTTATTTAACAGGTATTTACTGTATGCCTGCTAAGTCCTAGGGACTGTCTGCTACGTCCTAAAGCTAAAGAATACCATAAGACACAAATTATCCCTGTGCTAAAAGAGCTTAGTGCCAC